CAAGGATACTGCAGTAGTTTGCCATTTCCTTCTCCAGCTCATTTTACAGATGAGGAAACTGAGGCAGAGTTAAGTGACTTGCCCAGTGTCACACAGCTAGTAAGTGAGACTGGATTTGAACTTGGGTCTTCCTGGTTCTAGGTCCGGCACTCTATCCACTGAACCACCTAGCAGCCCCTATCATGATAGGATCATAGATTTTAAGCTGGAAGGAGAGTTAGAAATCATTTAGTCCAACCTTATCCTTTTATAGAAAGAAATGAAGGGCCAGGAAATGTGAAGAGATTTGCCAAGGGTACTGCTTGAGTTGGAACTATGATGGTGATTATGGTATTGGGCAACTCTGTTCTGATATTAAGGATTTTGCCAGTAGTATTCTTGAATAATGGGGGCATTTATGTTTCTATGGGTTTCTTTGGCATTGGTGCCAATGTTAGTAGTGATGGTAGGACTCATTTTGTGGTGAATGGTGACCGGTAGCAAAGACTTGTTGGCAAGGAAAGGAGCACTGGTGTTGATGGGACTGGTGGCTTGAGTCATGGTGGTGCTCCAGTTAATAAAGATGTTGATGATCAATTGATCAGCAAACGTTATTTAAGCACCTACTATATACTAGGATACAAAACCTAAATAGTCTCTGTCCTCCAGGAGCTTACATTCTACTGTGGGAATGGGGGTGGGATATAAACATGTTCACAACTAAATACATACAGAATATACAGAATAAATACTCAGTGATATGGGCAGGGAGTGGGGTAGGATAGGGAAAGCCTTAAAGGAAGTAGACTTTGAGATGAACCTTAAAAGGAGAGAAAGGTTCTAGGAGGCAGAAATGAGAGTCAGAAATTCTCCAGCTCTAACAAAGATGAAGGTGAAACCTTTGGTACCTTCATGAAAGGACATGAAGAAAGGAGATGAGGATGACAATGATGGAAGGACACGGTTTCTTTTAGGCCAATGATAGTTAAATGACCTGTATCCAAGGTACAGGAGAGGTGCTTTAGAGTAACAGTCACACTGTTAGTTCTATTTACAAAAGATATAAGCATTTTAAACCAAGGCCATGAGGATTTGCAGCCGGTGTCTTCAGCTGCTGCTGCCAGAAATTGGAAAGGAGAGAGCCAAGCCAAAGCCTGAGGCTTGATGGTGCAGGAGAGTAAAAAGGGGGAGAGAGAGGAGGATGAGTGCCTTCACACCTCTCATAGTTTCCTTTGAGTTCTCTTGGCCCTCACAGCTTCTTCCTTACTCCTTCATTTCACTGCCATGTCCAATACTTCTACTTTAGAATAATTTACTGTCCTCCATCCTCCCCCACCATCTCTCATTTCTTATGCATGGAAGGAGAATCATGGTTCAACCTGCCCATTTTTCATTTTAGGAAACTGAGCCCCAGAGAGGTAAACTAATTTGCCCAAGGTCACACAGATAGTAAGTGCCATACAGATAAGGAATATGAAGCTCAAAGACCTCTGACTCCAAAGCCAGGTCTCTTTCTGCAGACATTTTCCTTTACTAAGAGACAATTTATGCTGGCCTATCTTTTTTCTGGATCAGGCTTGGCTGGGAAGGAGGTAAGAGGGAGAAGGACACAGAAAGGTGGAGATGAAGAGGAAGAGAAGCTTCTATTGAATGTCCTTTGGGGAATGGAGCCTGCCTCCTTGAGACAGAGGTAGAAGGGCCTGGGACAAGGACATTCCATAGAATAAGCTCTATGGGGCCCAGGAGAGGGAATGAGTAGCCTTGAAGCCTCTAGGGTGTGGAGCTCTAGAGGGCTAGCCATTTAGAATGCTAGTTCGGGGCCTGAGGAGGACCACCTTAGGTCTTCAAGCAGAAGCTAGATTACAGCTTGTCAGGGGAGATTATAGAAGGGCTTCTTCTTCTTCTTCTTCTTCTTCTTCTTCTTCTTCTTCTTCTTCTTCTTCTTCTTCTTCTTTTCTTCTTCTTCTTCTTCTTCTTTCTTCCTCCTCCTCCTTTCTTTTTTCTTCTTCTAATCATCATCATCATCATCATCATCGTCTTCATCAATAATGATAGTAATCTTAGAATCACCAAATCAACTTATGTAAATTATCTCAGTGGAACCTTACAACAACTCTGTAAGACAGCTGTATTATATTACAAATATCATCTCCCTTTTACAGATCAGGAAATAGCCTCAGAAAGATGAAGTAATTCACGTAAGGTCACACAGCTAACAAGTGTCAGAACCAGGATTCTGACCTCAGTCTTCCTGACTCCAGGTCTAACACTCTCATCTACTACATCACATTGCGTCTTGATGAGCTATGAGTTGACTTTTTCCATCTCTGACCCTACAGGTATTCTAAATAGCTCCAGGTTTTTTCCCATCAAATCTGCCCTGGTCCCCTTCCCCCAATCTATTTGGTAAAAGAGAAGTTTCTTCCTCATTTCCCATGTTTCTAGTTCTCTTCAAGTAGACTTCTCAGTAGATATGGAAGTTCCCAATCCAAGATGATTCTTTTTGGATGAGTGAGAAAGGAAGATGAGAGCATTGTTGATTTAAGAAGCTGTGTTGAAAATCAATGAAGATTTAGTAACATACCACTTCTAAAGAGTTAGGGACCCCTATACCTAGCCTAAAAGCCCCCGTTTCTATTACTTTTTTCCAACCAGTACAGGCTGCTTCTGAAAAAGGGATCTCCTCCTGTTAGTATGACCAGTTAGGAGGACTCTGTTTCGTATTTGAACTTTTCATCTTTGTCTTCAGGGCTTTGATCTCCATTCCTCTACTTCTGGGCTTGCCCACATCTGTGCCTGTCTCTCCTTTGGAAAACTGTAACCATATGGCACTTCATCCTTTTGTTCTGTTTTTCATATAGACCCCAAAACATGAAATATCTTCCCAGCTCCCAGTGGGTGAAATGCCTCCTCTAGGGCTGACTGGGTCCTGTGAGGATGGACACTTAGCTACCTTGGGAAGTTCCTCATAAAAGACAGTGAGCCTGGGATCTTGCTTTGAGTTTTCCTTGTAACTCTAGGTAGAAGGAACACAAGAAAAGAGGTAGACAGGACAGAGAGAGATGCAGAATAGGAGAGAAAACGGAACAGGGAGATTGGTGGGGGAGGGAGTGTGGGTGTATACTGGGGCTAACTTCATTTCCTGCCCGAGGGCTCTCAGCAGCTTCCACTTTCCTTCTTTCTATCTGAGTAATTTCTCCTTCACTCTTCATTAGAAGGCTCTGGAGAAAGAGGTGAAAGCTCCAGAACCTACCACTATCACCCACCTCCTCCCTTCTCTTAGCTGTTGGGATGGAGTGAGAGGATGATAAACTTAGAACTATGAGGGGCCTTTGGGGCCATCTGGTCCTAGGATTATAGGACCAGAATTAGAAGGGATCTCGGAGGCTGTCTAGTCCAACCTTTCATTTTGCATGTGAGGAAACAGAGGCTCAGAGAGGTTAAGGCCCTTGCTCAAAGTCACACACATATTTATTAGATGGCTGAGGCAGGTTAAACCCCAGGTGTTCTCACCCCAAATCCATGACAATAGGCTGCATTTCTGTTCTGTGCACCATGTGGTAGGGAAAGCGAGTCAAAGTAGTTGTATTGCCTCTCCCTACTCCATGTACAACGGGAGGCTATTATTTTGCCCAGGCACAAGCCACTAGGATGACTCCATAACACTAATGGAAGACCCTAAAATCCTATGTATGTATGTGTGTGTGTGTGTGTGCACGTGCATATAAGTATGCATATGTATATGTGTGTGTAGGGGGTGGAGAAGGTAGACAGGCCTGGGGTAGCCACCTAAGTCCTCATATGACATGGGTGTATTGTAATGGAAGCTGGGAACGGGGAAATAAGAAGATTAATATTTTGCTTCAATTCTTGTTCCTTCATGGCTGGTGGACTAGGTCTTACTTCTTAGCCTAGAAGGATTGGGTCTGGATAGACTGGGATTGTTTGGGGGAGAGTTTTCCCTATTTGGGGGTGGTAACTGGACATCCACATAAGTCTCTCTTCCTGCCTCAGTCTCCCCAGTCCCTTCCCAGTGCCAGGGACTCTGAGCAGATGGAGTAGATTTGGAAATTGGCCCAGGTGCTTGAGTCTTCATCGGGCACATTTAGATGCTCACAATGAGACCCAGATTTTGGGTCTTGTCATGGGGCTATCCTGGCTGCTGACTGGTCTCCTCTGGAGTGGGTTATATGAAATAGTATTCTCTTTGTTACATCCTGTGACTGTGGCTCACTTCCTCCAGAGGGGCAGGAGGCAGGCTGCCAGATGGGTTGGTAGTGGAGGGTATGTGTGGGTAGGTAGGTAGGTGTGAGTTCATGGGCCTGAACAGGGAGAGGCGAAGGGGCTGGGATGGGGGTCTAGGATGAAAAGAAGTCAGAAAGAGCCATCAAGGGGTTTAGCTGGCTCTGGAAGGAAGGGAGGAGTGGGAAAGGAACTGGGCAGAAGGATCTTAAGAATTCCCCATAGCAATTGGATTTGGGTGGAATTTGTCACCGTGTGGGAGGGGAAAGGAAAAGAGCAGAAGGAGAGAGAGGAGAGTAGGCAAGTGTAGCAGCTGGAAGGCTCTGGAAGCAGCCTGCCTGGGTTGTGCCCACAGCAACAGGCCCCAGGGAACAGAGCCAATGGCCTCAGAGTGGCAGGTGGGCAGGGCAACGCTGGCATGCCTGAAAGGCAGGAAGCTTCTTGGAGTTGGGGAGGTGGGAGGGAAAGCCATGTTTGTGGAATAGTCAGTATTTTCCCCAAAATCATTGTGAAGGGAAGTCAGGGGGACTTCCTGCCTGGGCTTGGAGGATGGGGGCGGGTGATGAGGCTGAAGAAGGGTAAAATGAGGTCATGTGTGTAAAGTGAGCTGGAAGGAGAGCAAACAAATGTGAGTATTAGGAAAAGTCAGGACCAGGAATGGGAACCTGGGATCCAGAAGTGAATCTGGAGGCAACAAATGAGGGTTTCAAGATAATTTAGGATCCAGGTGAAGCCCACTATCCCCTGCTGACCCCTCTGCCTCTCCTCTGGCAGGTGGAGCCGCTTGGATCCCAATCCTACAGACGGACCGCATCTTACCGGGGGCTTGACGCTGGGATTTGTGGATTTGCATGTGTGTGCTTTTTTTTGTTTTTTTGAAGTTTAAAATTTTCTTTTAAAAAAGAAATTACCCAAAACCAACAAATCCAGCTCGCCCCTCCCCAGCCGGCCTCCTACCTCTCAGATAGCCCATGATGCCCTCCAGTGGTACCACCACCGTGGACAGCAGCAGCTCCAACCTGGAGAGGGACGAGGACCGCAAGGTAGGCAGCTGCTGCAGGCCAACTGTCTTGGAGCCTCTTGGTAGTGAAGAACCTTGGGAAGGGAGAGAAGGGTGCACAGAGTGACATGGCTTACTGGAGCAGGGAGGAGAGGGCATAGAAGAAATACATAAGGAAACTAACCAGATGCTTGATGGGTACCTATATAGATGCTTCCTGCTCTATTCCACACCACTGCTGCTCAACCCTTCCTGCTTCCTGCGCTCCCCCAGCTGCTTGGCTGTCTCCCTAAAGGTATATAGGGGAAAAAGCAGTTGGATTTTGGCAAGATTGGTGAGCTTTACTAAACAACAGAATCCGCAATCTATCCTGGGGGACAAACTGAAGAAGCCATGCTTAACCCTCATGTTCTGATGCAATGGAAAGACCACTGGACCTTTGGTTTCTAATGTTGGCTCCAGCTATGTGATACTGAGAAAATTGTTTAATTTCACTTAGCCTCAGTTTCTGATCTGTAAAATGGGGACAGGAATAGCTGTTGCTGTGAGGATGCAATGAGGTAACCGATGTGTTTTGAAAAACTGTAAGTGACTATACAAACATAGTAAAATAAATGTAGCACAGGTGGTAGGGTGGTTTTTCAAAGAGATTGAAAGGTTGTCTCCATCAGATAGGGAAGGACATGATCTTAGGGGTGAAGGTCCCATGCCCCTGAGTAGAAGCAATCAGGGGCTACAGTCAACACAGGAATCCTCCTCCTTAGGACAATTCTTGACTCCTCTTTCTGTCCCTCTTCCAAGCCCATCACTAGATGTGCATGCACCGACTTGCTTAGCCTCTAGCCTGTGTCCATGTGGAGCATCCATAAGATCCAGCATCACCCCTGTTGGTTCCTGCCTCCACCTGCCTCTAGAGGCACACACACTTCCATGAAGTGTGGCCTCGAGATTGGCTTGGACAGCAGTATTGGAGACATCCACAGAAAAGACAAGATACAGAGAATGTGCAAGGACATGATAGCACAGTTACCAAAATATGACACACACACAGACAACTGGCAAGAAAGCCCAATGCACGTGCACAGAGATCTGAATGTATCTGAGCAGAGGAGACTCCCCTCCTGGTAATCTGTTCCCATCAAGTTGAGTCTGAAGTGACAGTTCAGGCAGAGGTGTCAGAGGGAGCCTGAAGAATTGGGATGAATGGTGTGGGAAAGGCTGGAGACAGGAAAAGACCAAGAGGAAATGAGAAGTGACAGGTCCGAGTCAGTGGTTAATGTAGAGAAGCAAAGAAGGAAAAGGACAAAAACAGTCTGGAACAAAAGAGCATGATGCCCGGTTTGGGGTATCAGTGTTGCTCTTGATTGAATGACACGGCTTATGTGTGTGGGGGGTGGGGGGTGGGAAAGCTATTTCTTTCTGGACTCATATTTAGACAGAGTTCTTTGCCTCCCTCCTCCACATTCATTTCCTGGGAGAAGAGAATCACACAATCATAGATTAAAACTGGCAGCACAGGATCATAGATTTAGAACAGGAAGTCATCCTGTCCAAACCTTCGATTTGTAGGTGAGGCCTGGAAAAGTGAAAGTGACTTGTCCACAGTCACACATTTTCTCAGGGCAGTGGTAAAGTCAAGGCTGACTATGGAGTGCTTCCTTTTAGAGAGCTCCCCCGAAGGCTTTGGCAAGGGCAAGGTCAGCAGGGCCAGAAGCGTCTGTAGCAGGTTAGGGATGCTGAGAAAGGATGAGCTCAGGTTGCTTAGAAACAGAGAGGAGAAGAAAGGTGAGCAATATAGAACATGATACTCTATGTTTGGACAGTGCCTTACAGGTTACAAAGCATCCTCTTTTAAAGTCATACCCAATGCTGCTCCAACCAATATCATTTCACAATGCCATTAATATATTATAACTGAACTCCTTTCCAATGTCACAAATCTCTATAGTAATTTAGTTCCATTTATGACACTTCCTATGCAACTAACTGCCCTCATTAACAATTTTTCACATATTATCCTGTCTTAGAGAAATCATTTAATAACATTAAGTGAGATATGCTTGTGTATGATTTCATTTGAGGCTCACAATAATCGTAGAGGTCAATAGAGCAGGCATAATTAAGCCAGTTTTACAGTGACAGTATATCATAGTGGTTAGAACCAACCTGGAGTCGAGTCTCATCTCTGATGTATACTGTCTGTGTGACCCTGGGCGAGTCTCTTAATCTCAGTGCCCTAAGTTACCGAGTAAGTGCTGATCTACCTAGAAAGAGTCTCCTCACCAGGACTTCCCTACGTGGACAAAGTCACAGGTCTGGTACCCTAAATAAAAAAATAAATAAATAAATTGCTGCTCAGAGAAGTTATGTGGATGCCCAAGATTAGATAGCTAGCAAGTGTGGCCGAGCCAGTCTTTGCATTCTGCATCATGGTCTTGTGATCCTTAGTCCAGTGTTGTGATTCTGCATCTGGCGAAAGAACAGGAAGGAAGGAAAGACCGACAGAAGGAGGGGGTAGATAGAGAGCGGAAGTGACAGCTCAGAGTGAGAAAAGGGAAAGGGCTTGGGTGAGAAGACAGGGGAGGACGATGGCAAAGAGCCAGGAGCTGAGAGAGATTGGTTTTAAGAGGGAGGTTTTAACACATCCTCATTGGAGAAAGCTGCCAACCTTCTAAAGCAAAGAATGTCCAGGGGGAAAGAGTAATGGAGGAGCTCCAGTTAGGGGAGAATGAGAAAAGGGAGCAGATTGTAAACCAGAGTTTGGCAGACGAGAGGGACTCCATAAGGCATTTAGTCCATGTCGATGTGGGACCACTGCACCTGACCTCAAAAAGGCAGGTGTCCATTCCAACCTCAAAAATGATCAGGGTTGGAGATTTCTAAACATTCTCTATGAATTATCCTGCTTCTGTTACTACCTGTGTGGCCTTGGACAAGTCCCCTAACCTCTGTAGACCTCAGTTTCTTTGTGTTTTAAAGGAGGGAGTTAGACTAGATGGCCCCACAGTTCTCTTCTGCACCTAGAATGCAGGAGTGGGGAACCTGCGGCCTCGAGGTCAGATGTGGCCTTCTAGGTCCTCAGGTGCAGCCTTTTGACTGAGTCCAAGTTTTACAGAAAAAATCCTTGTATTAAGGGGATTTGTTCTGTGAAGTTTGGATTCAGTCAAAGGGCCACACTTGAGGACCTAGAGGGCCATAAGTGGCCTCAAGGCCGCAGGTTCCCCGCCCCTGAGTAGATAGATCTATGATCCTATAAATTTGCCCTGTGCTTCCCAGACTTCACAACTCAGATGTTCTTCTGAAGGCCTTACCTGAATAGTTTCTGTCGCACTGTAAGGTGTCTTGTTTATGTCTCCTCTGGTGTAACTGGAGACAAGCTCATCCTCCATCTACTATCACTCGAGGTGGGGGAACTGGAGTCAGAAGACCTGGGTTTGAATCCCAGAATTTCAAAGTTAGCTAACTGGTTCGACCCATGTCAAAGAAAAATCCCCCACTATAACACACCTAACAAGTACTTATCCAGCCTTTGAAGACCATCAGTGAGGGGGAACCTGCAGACCAGCTGTGTTCCTACCAGCCATGTGATGTTAGGGAAGTTACTGAACCTCTTTTAGCCTCAGTTTCCCCATCTATAAAATAGGTATATTATCACAAGGTTCGCAGAAGAATTAGTTCAGATATTAGAACATTACACTCACAAACACACACAATTCTATGGTTACACTTTGCAGCCCCCTGGTAACTGTCACCACGGTAGCAATTTTTACTGGTAACCCCAGAAGTCATGGAAATTGTTCATGTCGTTGACACACGATAAGAGACCCTGACTTAATCCCTTTGAGGTCTGGGAAGGTGTCTCACATCCAGGACCAATCGAAAAGGCTATAACTGCTGCTTAGTACTTGGGCCAAGCTAAGTACCTTAGACTAGTCTGGCATGAGTGTGCTGGATGCTTTGACTGTGAGGCAATCTTCCAAGCCACAGGTCTCTGGGGATCTGTGACTCTGACCCAGCCTCCTCTTTCCTGAACTCTTTTTCCCCTTTTTTCTGTGAGAATTCATACACTCCCTTTTTGCTTCCCAGATCTGTATAGACCACTCTACTCTGTCCTTAATCTCCCCCAGCCCATTCCTCAGGCACCCTCGGATACCTCAGTTTGACAGTATCACCTGACTCAGCGGTGTAGGAGCAGAATATCGAGTGACGTCTCTCCTTGTCTGTGTGTCTCTTTGTGCTTGTCCCCACTTAGCAACAAAACTAGAAAGGCCTTTATGTATCCACTCCAGCTTCAACAACTATATCTTTCCCCCACTATGAAAAAAAAATCAACAGTTTCACCTCTTAAAACAGTAAGTGTGATTTTATCCTCTGAAAGCTTTGATCCTTGTACTATGAGCACATCCAATTGGACTTAGCACAAAATAAATGCTTATGTGGGCATGCTTAAGTGAGTTTTTTGTTTGTTTTTTCTTTTTTTAGGGGCAACTAGGTAGCACAATGGATAGAGCTCTGGCCCTGAAGTCAGGAGGACCTGAGTTCAAATATGGCCTCAGATATTTACTAGCTGTATGATCCTGGGCAAGTCACTTAACCCCAATTACCTCCAAAAAAAATAACGTGGGATTTTTTTCTGACATTAAGAAATGTACATTTATGAAAGTAATGTAATACAATACAATATGCTACAATATATAATATAATATAATATAATGTAATACAATATAATATAATACAATGACATAGATAGGGAGCCCACCTCTGAAGCAGGAAGACCTTGGTTCAAGCCCTGCCTCTGACGAATTAAATTTGTGACCCTTTGCCAGTCATTTAACCTCTTGGTGCCCCAAGAAACTCTCTAAAACTATAAGTTTCAGAGAAAGTGGCAAACTGCCTTAGTAGAGGGATTCCCTCACTGGAGCTCCCTGGCATGGATGAAGTCACAGTTCCAGAATAATATGCATAGATTGATAGATGGATAGATACATACATATACATACATCTATATACATATACATAATTTATATGTTGGCCCTTCAAAGC